TCCTGGATAAGGGCACAGTCCACAGAAGGGAAGAGCTAACAGTAGAATATCTACAAAATGTAAAACCCAAGAGAGGTTGAATCACAATTCTCACAATTCCCAATGAGGCTTCCAAGAAGGGATAACTGGGATGGCACGAGGAGGTGGAATCAAACAGTGATGGAATCAGTGATAGGTATCTGGTCCTACTTGTGCAGACATGGAAAACTAGGTGGGAGCTCCAGCAACATATGTGCATAGATCCTGGGGGCTGGGCCATATGAGGCATTAACCCGGATTATAAACCACGGTATATGGAGAAACCTAGAAATCAGAGCATGTGAAATAACAACAAGCATTAGGTCCAAGGTGGGTGAGATGAGTTCATAAATAACAAAGAGATTCTTGAAATCTATATCAGTCAGGGTTCTAGCAAGAAAAATCACCCTAAAATTAAGATAATCTGAGGAGAGTACCAGGGTTGGTCTGTATGATTGAAAAAATGTGGCAGGAGTGATGGCCTGTTACTTGTGAGATTAGTCTATAAAAGACTGCAGCTTCTTTTTTGGGATCTCTCTGTCTCTCTCTCTTTCAGATCATTCTTAATAAACTCTTTTATTAGATGCATGAATTAATGAAAGAGAAAAGATAAACAGGATGCCAATCCCCTGGTCCTCCCATCTTCCTTTCCCTGTCTCAGAGTAGTTTTGATCAGAGATGAGACTGTTCATAGTTAAGCCTTCCTCCACCCCACCTGCTCCCCATCACCCAAATTCCCATCCATGAAAACAGAACCAACTTCTTACTAGACTCTTTCATGAAAACAGACCCAGCTTCTTACTAGACCCTTTCTTTCAAGACAGCTATAGTAGAAATGCTGCGGGTAAAGTTCTACGGGTGGTCCTTTTTACTTTTTGGCTTTTCTTGATGACAAAAAGAGTTCTAACCATGATTGACCCAAAGATTTTGTACTACTTAGGGGCAAAGTTTAATACATTAGAACGTTATTTTGGTGGATTAGGTTGGTCAGCATGAATCTATCCTTGGAATAATAGTACACTTAGAGCCAAAACGAATTCGCTTTCTGAACCAGAAAAATTAGAATGGGTTTAATATATATGTTTCCAAAGGGATTAAAAACTATCTACTGATTTGCTTTTCTCATCTCAACTGCCATTTATAGATAATCACACACAAAACAGTGTCTACTGACTTCATCATCTATAAGGAATGCCAAGTATCTTGGTACTTGGTAGTCTATTTCAAAGTCAACGTGTTACCAACAGAAATTCATTTTTGGCAATGTATTTATTCATTTACTCCTTAAACATTTACTGAACAGATACATCTTTCTTATTTCACAAGGCAGTAGAAGCATAAAAAAAGAAAGAAACCCTGCTCTTGAATGGCTTACATCCAACCTAGTGGGGACAAGGCAGATATAAAAAAAGAACTTGATGTTAAGAGTTACAGTAAGAGTATATGCAAAGGGCTGTAGGGATAGTCTTGGAATAGTTTTTGATAGTTCCAGAAACACTTTAATCCTTAGAATAAGAAACCAATAGTTTAGCTCTTACAGTAATGCCCTGACATTTTTATTGAACCTGAAAAGATTGCTATATATAAGGAATTTCTACAGGAAGAAAACATTATATATTTATTTGTCTTATTAGGGTGATTTTTGAAAAAAACCAAAGTTATAGGTAAGATAAAATTCAAATGGAAATGGTATATTTCATATTTCTTAGAAAATATTCAGAGCAGAATCTTGGTACATACTGTATCATGACAGAGTTATGTTACCTCACCTATATATAATCTAATTCAATTTTCATAAATATAGTTTAACTATATGTAAACATATAGAAAACTATAAGAAAATACAGTTTTCTAAGAATCCAGACACCACTATAGCATCATAACTCTGGAGAATTTTATGTTCAGTGCTTTGTTACTGGTTTTTACTAATTATATAATTTTTGATACTATGTTTTGAATAGCTAATTCATTTAAAATTTAATAGCTAGTTTTCTTTAAAAATATGTAATTTCATATATGTCCAGGCAACAATGCTGGGTTATTTTGTTGGCTGGTTTATAGAAGGAGGTACAAAGGTTAGGGATAATTCTTTAAGTAGAACAGATGAATACTAAGTCTGAAATCTGTGATAAAGGAGCATTAAAAATACTGGCAGCTACTGAAATTCTTACCATTAATTTATCTCAAAACCATCTGCAGATGTGTGCATATTAATTGGCTTTGGGCATTCCGTTACCTAGGAGGAGTAACGCATTTGATAGCTAAAATTAGAAGGCAGGCAAAAAAAAAGAAATAAAATAAAAATAAAGAGTAAAAATACAAAGCTTGGTGTTCCAATGTAGGTGGGGTATTATAGCAAGAGACTGCCAGGCAGGAGTCCTTAATCACTGTGAGACGTGAGTGGCAAAAAGTGCTTGAGGCATGTTACTGAAAGACAAAGCTATCTCACACATCTAGATTTGAGGGTGGAAGGGTGAGAGTTGGAGCTATTCCCCATTCACACTGCCACACGTTTTTATAACATGCTTTTCATTACATGGATTTGAATACATCAGTGATCAGGGTGATGAGTGAGGGGGCGATGGAGGAAGCCAGAAGGAAAACTGGAAGGCTTTTGGCTTTTATCTATTTTGCCTGTTTAAGCTAAGGAAAAAAAGATGTTTTTAGCCTTTTTTTTTTTAAATAAACTACTTTAATAATAAAAGTATTGATAACCAAAATAAGAGCTACAAGTTATGGACAGCTTGTTATGCAGTAGGCACTATGTTAAGTGCTTTATGTACATATCTCACTTAATGTCCTCTGTGTTTCCCCCACTGTCCCTAAACAGTAAAAATCTCTTCCAGAACTGCTCATTCACCATCTCCTAGCAGAGGCACCATAAAGAGATTTCACTTTATTTGCAATTCTGCATTTAAAAATTCCTCTTCACCCTTGACCTTGTTGGAGCTACTTTCTGCTTTGAAATGGTGAACAGGGTGTCCCTAAGCATTGATGGGAGTGGTATCCCTTTCCCTCTCACCCAAGGCCAAGCTCAAATAGAGTGGGCTTCTTGGCCAGGCAACCCTGGATACTTATCACTATAGGAGAAAGTGCCTTAGAACTGTCTCCTGCTGAGTGAACTGTAAGCCCCAGCCCCACTTGGTTCATGGATTCAAAGCCGTCACTCACTATGTGCTTATGCACTAGTGCAAAGAGAATGGCTTTCTTGCCTCAAGGAAGCAAATGGCCCCACCAATGCTAACACCTTGAAATTCCAGTAAACACTGTTTACTGTTCTGAGGGGAATGTGACAACAAGGCAGATTTATCTTGGATGCCTTCCAAGAAGCCCAGCACCAAAGGAAAGTCCTGATAAATACAGGCTGGGAAGGAGGAGCTCCAAATACCCTATGCGGTTCACTAATAGAGGTTTTGCTGCTCTTCAGGAGAACCTAATGTCCCCTACTTGGTGGATGGAGACTCACTTTCACTGTCCTTTAAGCAAAGAGATGCTGCAATTCTACTCCTTTAGAGGACTGACTGAGAAAAGAAACGGGCCATTACACCCAGGGCACTTTCTCTTTTTAAGAACTTTCCCTTCATTCTTTCCTTCCTGAAAGTCTGTTCTCCTAAACTTTGTTTCTGTTGGTGGTATTTAGACATGCTGTTTTTTCTCCTCTGGGTGTGCTCTAGGATTTGATCTAATTGTCCTGCTGTTCGAGTGTCACTTGGTATTATTATTGGGAAGATGAATGGGATGGGGGTCAGAGTTCAGCAAGAAGGCATCTGCTCGCTTCCACTGTATAGTGGAAATGCTTAGAGGTGATCTTTAATGAAAGCTTGGAAAAGATTTGCACAAGGCAGGCTGTCCTCTATTCCTCCAAAGCAGAGGGAACCAAAGGTAATCCTTTTCTGGAGGGACAGAAAATGAATAAAAAGGAGGTAGAAATCTCTTTACAGTGAGTCTCCTGCTTGGGACGTCTTTTCTTCTACAGGCGACAAAATGAAGTGTGGTGTGTGGGGAGACAGAGCGATTAAACAGGGAAAAGATTGAAAATAGAAGCTCTTGAGTGGATCCTAAGCATTCTGTTTTGCTCATAGAACAATCTCACCCAAGAAGTTTCCACTCCACTTGCAGAGACTCACCTGCCATCTCCCCTGGCCTCAGGTTACGGTGCCATCGCAGGCTCAGGTTCTCTTACTGGACTCTCTTCGAGTTGACAGTTCTTCCACTTTACCAAGTAGCCAGAAACCCCACAAAGACCTAGAATTGCGTTGGCGTTCTAGGCAAGGGGGACAATGAACTCATTGTTTTTGTTTTGTTTCCTTCTTGAATAGGGCAAATGTCTCTTCCATTTAACCCTGTCACCAAAGGAGGCTGAGTATGGGATCCTCAGCCACTCTCCTTCCTTCCACTCCTCCTTTGTTCTTTGGAAGAGTTATCCCTAGCTCCCTCCCCGCCTTCTCCCCATTAAAGCTGTTGTGGGACCCGACTGGATGTTGCCTTTTCCAGCTCTTAAAGGAGTGGAAGTTGGGAGGGGAAGAAAGAAGCACACATCGGGAAACTCATTTTAGTTCGGGGCGACCTGCAGCCTGTGGTTCCTCCTCGACCTCTGGGGAGTCGCATCTCGGTTGCCCCCAGGGTAGAGGCGAGAGAATAGCCCACAGGAATGCCTGCGCCAGCGCTAAAACCACACAGGGAGAGGACAGCCCCGCGTTACTGAGGACTCCAGGCAGTAGCGGTCTTCAGGGATGGGTGGGGATCCCACCACTGGCTTCCAGCACTGCACGCGCCGAGGAGTCCCCGCGCAGGGCGCACCTTTGCGGCGGGTTTTCCCCGCTGCCTCCTGAGAACCCCGCGGAGCAACTACCGCTCGGCTGGACGCAATCTGCCTGGCTCGCCTCTCCTACAGGCTCGCTCTCTCCGCTCAGCCTTAGCTCTCGAGCCAGCGCGGAGTCTCTCTTGAGCATGCGCAGCCCGGCACCCTTCCCCTCCTCTCCCCTCCTCCGCCCCCTCCCCGCCAGCCTTTTGCTCCTTCCCTTTCATTAAACAAACAGGAGATCCTGAAACCTGGACCCTGCGCAAGCGGCAGAGCCAGGAGGAGGCAGCGGAGGAGGCAGAGCGCGGGATGGGCGCCCAGCGGGATCTGTGATCCCGCGCACCTCCGCTCCACGGGCGCGCGCACACACACTGACACACACATACACACACTCGCACAAACACACACTCGTACACGCCCGCGCCGCGCGCTCGCCGGCTGGCTCTCCCACGCAGGCGGAATGCAGCAGCGCGGGGAGAGCGTGTCTCCGGCCGCCGCCTGAATGCACCTCGCCCCCGGGAGCCGGACGGCCCAGTAGGGCGCACGAGAGGACGCTCCGCTGCGGGAGGTGAGTGCGGCGCCTGCAGCCGGGCCGCTCGGGACGTCGCTGCAGCTGGGCTGTGGGGCAGCGTGGGGCGGGGGCAGGCTCCTGGCCGGACCCGGCAGCGCAGGTGTCCCATGCCTTGCTTGTGGGTGTCGAGGTGCAGATGAAGGCGGCGCTGGGCTGTGCAGAGGAGAGGACGAACCCAGGGAGGGTCGCCTCCTGCGAGATGTCAGATTGACCCAGCAGAAAGCTACCGCCTCCCTGCTCGTAAACTTTCCTTCCGTGTCATTTGGGAAACGTGGAGACAAAGGGGGCGTGGAGGCTCCCTCCGTCCCTTTCCACCCTCTTGACTGCATTCCGGGCTGCAACGCGAGCCTGCACTCGTTGGGTGGGTGTGCAGGCGGGGGCGCCCTGCAGGTAGCTGATGCCAAGTCCTTCCACCCGGGCGCGGGTTGGGATTTCTCACCCCAAGCTGTAAGCGTTGCCATTGATTTTCCCTCAGGCATGGGCACCTGGCATCCTTCCCTTCCACCCCTCTGCGCCCTAGGCGCATCGTGGGGTTGTGTGTGTGGTGGTGGTGGGGTGTCACCTGGAAAATTGGACGGGCAGCCTTCGGCTTTCTGATTGAGCTCTAGTGTCAAAGACGCAGGGGTAAGGCTCGGGTCAGTGCGGGGATAAATGATGAGTTACTGAAAGGCTTGCCATAATCACCTCCTAGAAACGCAGAGAGTCAGGATCTCTCCTCTCCGGGGAAGGTGCTGTCTTCATGTACACCACGCGGCAGCGCTGGGAGCTGGACAGGGGCTGCTGTGGCGGTGGCGGCGGCAGTGGGAAGCCGGGTCTTTATCCTCCCCCAACCCATTTCCCAAGGGTTTTATGACACGCACGTGTGGAATATGTGGAGGATTCTGGGTTATTATTTTTCTTTGTGGGGATGTCGTTTTTTCCTTTCAACCTCTTTCCTGGGAGAGATTCTCTGCTGTCTGCTATCTAGTTGGTGGACAGGCACGGTTCTGAATATCTCTTTGGTCCAATGGAAAAGGTCCTGAGAAAAAGATTTCCTAAAATGCCAGTCCCACAGGGGCGGGATTTCAGAGTGCAGTGCACCCGCTGTACCCGGGAAAAGCGTCAAATCGAATGGCCTTTTGAAACAGCGGAGACTGGGTCAGTGTGTGAGGAGTCCAGGACTGGGACAAAGGGAGATAGAAAAGGGACAGATAATGGTCACTTAGGAGAGGCGTGACTAGAGGCCAATGAAGGCAGGAAGAGGTTTGACTGGAGGAAGGTGTTCTGCAGCCTTCACTGAATTCCTATGCCCCTTCTATGTGTATGGTTGGCAGCTCCTAATCATCTGGTGGAAATCTAGTTTTGAGGTTGCTTGAATGTCACATCTGGAGCGTAAAAGACTTCATTATTCCTGGGATAACGTGTAGCATACTTACAAATTAGTTGTTTAGGTCTAGAAAGAGCCTCGTGTGAAAGTTTCTCCACCTTCACGTGTTGTTTGTACCTGGAAGGTGGGATGGGCAGACAGGTATATTTTTGGCTCTTGTGCAAATGAGGAACCTTGGATTTTTAGGAAAAGTGTGTAGGGAATCTGGAAGCCAAGCTGATGCGGACAGAAGTAAACTCTGGAAGCTCAGATCCAGTACTTATGACTGCTGCTCCTCACCAGGGGAGGTTATCTTCACTTTGAGATGACAGGTTGGGGCTTCTCTCTGCTGCTTGGGATGGGGACCTTTTCATTTTTAACATTTTGTGGATCCTTTGAAGTAGGAAAAAGCATGATATTGGTGAGGTTAATTGAGAAACACTTATGAAAGTGATCTTGACTCAAGTCAGCACAGCTGAAGGTGAAGAGCTTTTTTTGAGAAAGAAAAAGGAAAAGAGGGAAATTGGGAAAGGGATGCTTGTTATTAAAATAGCTTTGTTTTTATGATTTTTAGAGGTATTCAGAAAGATAGAAATCTGAGCTTCTTATTTTCAAATAACAAGTGAAGTAGAGACCTTTCCAGGAATATTTTCAAGTGAAATTGGCATAGAGAGGATTTAAATATAATTGTCAGCATATGTCCTTTTTATCCCATGGTGAACACTGTCATCATTTTCTTTGAAAACCTTGGCAAGAAAAGATCAAGAATATTTTTTGCTTTTACTAGAGCTCTTTATTTGCTTTGCTCCTATATATTTCCTCTTCCTTCATCTGCAAGATCAATTTATTTTGATTATACTCAGATTCCATTTACAAGCACTTATTGACCACCTATCCTGTATTTAGCATTGTAAGTCATATAAAACATGTAACATCATTCTGTCCCTCAAAGTGTTTATGGCCTAGTTGTAAATACAAAAAGAACACACATGAAATAGAAAGCAGGATACTTCTATATTGTATTATGAGATCTTAATGTGTATGCTGTATACTCCATCCCCTCCTTCTGGATTTTCTCAACATTCAGGAAACATGTATAAGCACTTGTTATGTGCTAGAGGCTGGCAAAAAAGGCAAGAAAGTAAAAAAATGGTCCCGGTCATTGAGGAAACAGGTATTTAACTATGATTCAATCTAATTAACTGCTATAACTGTAGGATAAACCATGTGCCAATAGTTCAGGCATGAAAGTAATTTTTCCTTTCCCAGGAGGATGTGAGCAGGTGATCTCTGAGAAAAATGAATAGTCTTTTACCAGGTAGGAAAGGATAGAAAGGACATTCCAGGCAGAGAAAATATTTGAGAGTGCCTGATAAGTTAGGGTGACAATAAGCCATCTCATGTGGTTAGCGCCATTGAGGGTGAACAGCACCTGGGTGACACCAATTAACAACTAGTGCTATAGAGTCAGTTTTTCAGAGAGATATGCCCAGAATGCTGTGGAAGCACAAAGGGAGGGCATCAAACTCAAGGAGGGTAAGAAGATCAAGAAGGTTTCTTAGAGAACTTGACATGAGCTGAGTCGTGAACGAGGACAAGGAGAAAAGAAGGGCTTTCCAGGCAGAAATATCTCTGTAAGGCCTGGAAGTGGTTCTCTGTGGCTGTAGCAAGATATGTGGGTTCTTAGCTCCTTGCAGTGGCACAACATCAAGCAAGAGACATAAGCAGCAATCAAGTGTGAATGACACTATCCAAGCATAAGAGCTCCCATTTTATGGGAAAGGCTAGGAGTATTTGTTTGAACGTTGAGAAAGTTTGAGATGTAATCATATTTGCATTAGAGAATGGTGACTGTGACCCCAGTGTGGAGGATGACTTGGAGGTGGTGAGACTGAAGGCAGGCAACGTATTGTGGAAATACAGATGTTAAATGATGAGGGTGGTGGCAGTAGGGGTGGACTAAAGGAGATGTATCTGAAAGACAAGTGAAGAAAGTAAAGCCTGCTAATCTAAGAAGGGCTTTCCTTCTGTGTGCTCCTGTATCACCCTCTTCTTCCTCCGCATTCCCTTGTATAGCTGCCTTTTTTGCATTGTGAGAGAGAAGCATTCACAGTGGCATTACCAGCATTTAGTACAGGCATGGTATGGAGTAGGGACCCAATAAATATTTGTTGAATGAATCATTAAATAAATGAATCAGAAACCCAGCCATGAGGTGATGATTCCTGCATTAGAACAGAAGATAAATCATGACTTCCATTTCTCCAAGGTGATCAACTGACTTGGAGGTCAGTGTTAAAACGTGCCAGGAGGACACAAATCAAAACAAAAAATGCATTTTCTCAGCTGCCTCTATGAAGAATAACTGTACTCTGAAGTGCCACTAGGAAAAAGCATCATGGCATTATTTTTTTATATTTAAAACATGAGATCATCACTGTATCTCAGAAGCAACAGCATTTAGCCAGTTCCTGATACTTAGTAGGATGGCAGTGTATGTAAATTCCCTTTTCCCGCTTTCTTGTCAGAATTTCCTGATTTAATATACTTTGGGAAAACTTTAAAAATATTCTGCACCAGAGAGTTCATATGGATCTCATTTAAAGAGCCCATAGCATCTTGCATCCTGGAATGAGGGCCAGATCATCTGTGTTCCAGCCATCAACACTGCAGACCCAGGAACTAGATTATTTACTGAACCAAGCCCAAACATGTTGAATTTCAGTCTGAAAATGCCAATAAAAGATACCAGAATGGAGAAAAAGACATAGAGCTTGTTTTTAAATTGACTGCAGGGGGTGCAACAGAAGGCAAGTCAAAGATAGCACTTTGGGTTTGACCATTGGTAGCTGGATTGATGGTGACAGAGGGATGGGGAAGGAGTTTAGCTCAGGAAAGTAAAAAGCTCAATGCTGTTTTGCAGAAATTGATTTTGGGGTGACACCAGAACATCTTGGAAAGCGTTAGTACAGATCCCAGCATCTAGTGATTTCATAGCAAATGCCAACTACTATTTTTTATTAGGGAAGAAGATGGGAAAAGGAGGAGAGCATAGAGCCAAAAACTGAATTCAGCATTTAGCAAAATTTAGGGATTAAGTAGAGAAATAAGCCCCAGGAAAGAGCATAGGAAGTTAATACTCAGACAAGAAGGAAAAGAACTGGCAAGAAAGCAAAAGCCTCAGAATCAGGAGGAATGCTCAGATTTCACAGAAGCAGTCCCAGCTGTGCCAGGACTTGTTTAAGTGCCTCCACGTGGAATCCTACTTAATGTCTACAACACCTTACAGCTGAGGCAGCTGAAACAGAGGACCCAGTAGCTTGTCTTTAGCTACCAAATTACGAAGTATCAGTCAGGTCTCAAAGCCCATTTTCATAATTGTACAAGCAGTTTCCATTCATCAAATGTATAAATTACCAGGATGATTTTAAGTGAGGGGAGTTTGAAAAGGTTGAAAGTAGGAAACTGAAAAGGACAATGAGAAAGAGTTTTCTGGTGACCATGAGGAAAGCAATCTTAGTAAAGCAGCGTGCTCAGAAACCATTTCAGAGAGTTCAGGGGGGAATGAGAAGTTAAAACAAAACAAAAAAAACCCCCATGCAATGTGTAACTATCAGCCATTTATAAAGTCCAGCAGGAGAAAGAGTTATGG